CATTTACCTCCCAGGTTGAAGCAATTCTCCTGCCTCAGCCTCCCGAGTAGCTGGGACTACAGGTGCACGCCACCACACCCAGCTAATTTTTGTTTTCTTAGTAGAGACAGGGTTTCACCGTGTTGGCCACGATGGTCTCCATCTCTTGACCTCATTATCCACCCACCTCGGCCTCCCAAAGTGCTGGGATTACAGGCGTGAGCCACCGCGCCTGACCTAATTTTTTTTTTTTGGTAGAGATGGGGTTTTGCCATGTTGCCCAGGTTGGTCTTGAACTTCTGGCCTCAAGTGACCCTCCTGCCTCAGCCTCCCAAAGTGCTGGGATTACAGGTGTTAACCACAGCACTCAGCCTGTCTTTCCTTTCTAGACCTTCCCTTGGGGGTTCTTTCCCCTCAATGGGCCACAAAGTGATCTTCCCAATTTACAGCATTCCCGCCCTTTCCTGACACCAGGGCGAGGATGCTAAGCCAAGACTTGAGGTCTTCTCCTCACCTCCTTTGAGGGGCATTAGAGCTTTTTTTTCTCTGAAAATAAGTATGCGGGCATGTGCATGTATTTTAGGGGTGGGAAGGGCAGAGTCAGGGGACATTTTTACACCCACATTTCACATTCCGCAAGCGCTCACCATGAGTGAGGGAGGCGCTGCTCCTTCACACACTGTGACCTTTCCTCCTCCCAACGGCAATCTCAAGTGAGAGTGTTTATTCCCATTTCACAAATGTGGTCATGAAGGTCCCAAGATGGTTTTTGTCCAAGACCACGTGACTTGTAAGAGGTCAGTTCAATCACTGGCCTGGCTTAAATTTAATTTTTTTTTTTTTTTTTTTTTTTTTTTTTTGAGACAGAGTTTCGTTCTTGTCGCCCAGGCTGGAGTGCAATGGTGTAGTCTTGGCTCACTGCAACCTCTGCCTCCTGGGTTCAAGGGATTCTCCTGCCCCAGCCTCCCGAGTAGCTGGGACTACATGTGCGCACCACCATGCCTGGCTAATTTTTGTATTTTTAGTAGAGATGGGGTTTCACCATGTTGGCCAGACTGGCCTCAAACTCCTGACCTCAGGTGCCCTGCCCACCTCGGCTTCCCAAAGTGCTGGGATTACAGGCATGAGCCACAGCACCTGGTCAAGTTCTTAAGAACAGTTTACACAGATTGGGGAAATGTGTCTCGTTTTCATTCTGAGAGCTAATAAAACAGAGAGTGTATGAAGAGGTCAAACACAGGGCCCACTGGGTGGAACACACTGCCTCCACCTCACCTTCCCCCTCTGCGCCACACACCTGATGCAGCCCCACCCAACACAGCCATGGCCCTCCAACCCCCCCACCCCCACCCCTGCCACCTGCCCAGAGTCCTCTGAGTCTCAGCACAGCAGAGGGAGCAGGTGCATGCTCTAAGCTCACACAGGAAACAGGAGGTGGGCGAGGCCAACTGTGCCAGCCCTTCACCCCTCACTCCACACCCCACTGGCTTCTGTCCTGAAAGGGAACACACACACACACACACACACACACACACACACACACGCCCCAAACTCCTGTGTGGGTTTGTTGGAAATATCATCCCATTCAGAAAGATGGGGGCCAGTGGGAAACAGTCTGCTGGCTCATCGCTGGACCCGCTGCAACAGATGTTCCGTCTCCCATCCCCATGTCCCTCTGGACAGTGCTGCTTGCTAACTCGGATCATGTCAGAATGGTGGAGGGGTCTCTATCCCCACGGAGCTCAGGGATCCTTCCTCACCTCACTGGCCCAAGTGACATGACCGCCTGCCGTGCGCATTTGCCCACTCATCACACAGAACCAGGAAATGTGAACCCAACTTTGGTGGGAAGACCTTGAAACACACAATCACACATGCCTCTCTGAGGTCCACAGCAGCCCACTGTCATTTTCTAGAAAATCCGATCAAAAAGACTCTCTTGCTTAACACACTTCTAGGACTTCCCATCTCACCGGGTCAAGTCCAAAGCCCTCACCAAGTGAGGAGGCGCCACTGGGCCACCTGCTGCCTTTACCCACCTGGAATGCCCTGGCCCCTCCTCTCTCCTGTTCACTCTGTGTCCTAGACACAGTGGCCTCTTCTTTGTACCTGGGACACATCTGTTACCTCCCTGCCCCCAGCACCTGCTGTCCCCCTGGCCCCCCAGGCCTGGCTCTTCCTGTCTTTCAGAATCAGCACAAGCACCCCTGCCTCAGAGAGGCCTCCCCCAGTGACTCGACCTTAGCACCTGTGCAGCCTCACCATGCCCGCCTCTGTCTCCTCACTTGCTTACTCTTTGCTCCCCAAGGCCTGTCTGTCATCTTCCTCACACATTCCCACTGACACATCCTCACTGACACATCTCCAGCACCCAGCACAAAGCAGAAGTATTTGCTAAGTGAATGAACAGATGCATGAATCATCCAGGCAAGTCAGCGGAGCTCTGCATGCCACACTTGCCTCATCTGTAAAATGGGGCTAGCCCCATACCCATGCGTGAGGATGAGAAGAGACCACAGAGGCACCTGTGTTCAGGTACCGTGCACGTGATAGGGGTTCTAACAGGTATAAATGGAATGCTTGTGACATACGGGGCAGGCGTGACTAATCCTTCTGCATGAGAAGAGGGGATTCCTGACTGGCTCGGGAAGAATGAGCGACAGATCGCAGATGGAAGAGGGGATGAGTGTCACAGGCTGGGGGTGCTGGGAAGTAGGTGATTTGGGGTGGCTGGTGGGGAGGCAGCAGGGGAGCCTCCAGAGGAGACTACAGGCGAGGTGGGGCCAGCTCACCCATTTGCTTGAAGGGTCATGGTCTGCACTGGACCATGGGGAAGGCAGCTAAGTCTGCCACCTGCTATGGCTGACCAGCTTGGATTTTATACCTCTAAGGAGGTGACTGTCTAGTAGGCTGCTGAGGTCAATTCATAGAGGGAAGGAAAACTCACAGCCAACACCTGGATCCAAAAACATCTGCACTGACCTCCTACCCAGCCAGGACACAAAAAGTTTATCTCCTTAAATGTGCATTTGTCCTGTGGCCCAAGAGGCTGCTGGCACAACACATCCTTCCGTCACAGCACTGGTGCTGCCAGTCAAGCTAGACAGACAGCCAACACCAGCTTCCCTTATTCAATCCCCCAGGAACAGAGGAAGGGAGAGTGAGGGCAAAGGCTATGCTGGCGCCTGGGGGTGGGGGCAGGAGAGCCTCATACAAACACAAACCCCCGCGGGGACATGTGGGCACTTGCCACCTGCTCAGGGACTCATCTGACCCCAGGCTCCCCAGGAGCCCACGCCCCAGCTTTTGATGAGAGCTGGGCCTGCAGACTGTGCAGCTCTGAAGCCTGGCATGAGGCCCAGCAGTGGTCCTGATGCCCAGAGGGGTTGGTTAAAGCTGTTCTTTGGTAAGACAGTGGGTGCTGGGCATGGAGAGGGAGACTGGGTTGCTGGCCTCTTCCCTAAATCTGGGATGTGGGTCAACTTCCCTCCATCTGCTTTATTAGAGGCTGCCCACCCTTTATGGGCAGCTCCCCTCAAGCGCTACCCTTCCCTGAGTCTTCCGCACCTCGATCCCTCCAGTCTCTGGGCACCAGTGGCTCCGAGGCTCACTTAAGCGTTTTCTAGTCTGACATAACGAGAACGCACACTCCTATGATTACAACGTTAATTTGGTGAACACGTTTCTGTGTGGGGCTAGGCACTGTAGATACGTGAGGTAGGTTACTGTTATCATACAAATTTTACAGATGGGGAAACTGAAGCACAGTGAAATTAAATAATCTGCCCCAAGGTCACTCAGCTAGTTTGTAGCTGGTCCAACTCCAGAGCCCTCGCTCCTAACCACACTCCATGACTCCTCTTAGATGCCGCCTTACTCATGTACACAGTCCCATACAGTATCTCCCCAAGTGCCAGACACACAATAAACAAACACCCGTAGGTTGAATCTTCCCCTTCCCTGTCTGCTCTAGGATCTGTGATTCCTAGGAGGGAAGATGACCCCAAAGAACCACTAGGTGGCAGCAAGGTGCCGGATTCAGGCCTCCCGCTAGGAGGGAGGGATGAGCTTACGGTCAGGTGTATTGAGTGCAGCCTGCACCAGGCACTTCACAGACTTCATCTCTTCCCACTCTACAGAGAGGAAAGGTTCAGACAGGCCGACAAATTTGCCCACGGTCAGGCAGCTTAGAATACTAGGACCGAAGCCAGGACCGGCAAAACCCAGAGCCCAGGCCAGTTCTCGGAGAAATAAACCCAGGAACACCTTCGGCTGCGGATCTAAGTCTAGGCGCCTCCACCCCAGAGAGCACAGAAACTAACCCTTAGGAAAGAGGCTAGACGGTGCGGGCTGGCTCTGAGGAGGCCTCCACCTAATGGGCACCTTGGCTGGGAGGGAGTTTGAACAAGACCCACTAGCACCAATGGCTCTTGGGGACCTGCAGAGCACCACAGACCTCTCAGCCTCCCAGCCACAGTCAAGGACGCTGGTGCACCCAGCCTCCCACCGAAACTCCTCCACCCAACCTCAGCCCTGCCGCCTCCTGCCCTCCCTGCCTCAGGCTCCTTTGATCTGGGACCAGGGCCTCCAACGTGGTCATGGAAGATGGCCAGGGAATCCACATCCACTGAGATGGACGGAAACTATCTGGAGAGCTCTGACGATGTCCCCGTCCAACAACTGTCACCTCCATGCCTAAAACCCACCCCCTAGGGGACGAGGCCTCCCTGTGTGAACTGTCCTGGGAGTGCAGCAGGGGTGCGCATGGCTGTGGGTGCGTGGCCCATGCATTCCTCGGGCCTCCAGCGCGGCCGGCGCCACAATGCAGGGGCTTGAGTGGCAGCACGGGGACCGTCACATCTTCAGTTCCAGGGTCCAGTGATGTTCCTGGCTGAGTCCATTGGGGCGCTGGCTTCAGAACTGCCTGGGTTATGTCTCTGAGCACTGCTTCTGGCCTGCCTCCCACATGGCCCCATTGCTCCCCCAGTCCCTCCCAAGGCTCACACAGCCAGACCAGGTCCTCTGAAAACACAGAGCATCTTGGGTTTATTTGGGGCTGGGCACTGCAGGTTCAGGCACAGTTTGTTCCTGGGTAGAGTCACAGCTGCTCCTCTCAGCACTCTTGGCACTTCGGGGGGCTGCCCCGCAGGTCCCCTCCCCACGTCCCCATTTCCTGCACACATGTCTCTTCCCCCCTCCCTGCTCCCCAAGTCTCTCATTCTTTCACCAGCCTGTAGATATGGTGCTGAGCCCCGTGCTCGCTGGCTGACACCTCAAAGACATAGGCAATGCATAGCAAGGTCTCCTGTGTGTCTCTGTTGGTGACCACCTGTGGGAGAGAAAAAGACAAGGGTTAATAAGGCCCCAGATGAGGGCACGCCATTGCTGCTACTCACGCACAGACTCCAGCCACACACCTGCAGGATGGTGAAGTTCTCCAGCACGCTGTTCATCATGTACTTCTCGGGCAGGTGCTTCAGCTTGTGGATGAAGTTGATCATGTACTCGCAGAGCGGGGAGCGGTGGATGCGGTATGAGTAGTGTCCATTCTCGTAGCGAGCGTACTCTGTCTGCAGGACCCGGGGACAGCAGGGGCTTAGAATCCCTTCTGACCACCTCCAGCCCAGACCCATCTCATGGGAAGCCCCAGGACCCAGTCACTGGTGACTGGAAACGCAGGAGGTCCAGGGGCCCTTAAGAAAAGAGTCACCCCCAGCCAGGCACGAACACTCACACCTGTAATCCCAATACTTTGGGAGGCTGAGGTAGAAGGATCACCTGAGGTCAGGAGTCCAAGACCAGCCTGGCCAATATGGTGAAACCCCATTTCTACTAAAATACAAAAATTAGCCAGGCATAGTGGCATACACCTACAATCCCAGCTACTCTGGAGGCTGAGCAGGAGAATCACTTGAACCTGGGAGGCAGAGGTTGCAGTGAGCTGAGATCGTACCATTGCATTGCAGCCTGCATGACAGAGTGAGACTGTCTCATCAAAAAAAAAAAAAAAAAAAAGAGAGAGAGAACAGTCACCCTATTAGGTTGGTGGACATTAAACAAGACCTCCTTCCTCCATGGGTGGCCAGCAGGAACTGGGGATGGCAGGAGGGGAGTTTAAGGAGACACAAGAGCAGGGTAGGCGCCTCTCAATCCTGGCTGTACACGAGGACACCATGCTTGTGGCACAGGGCACACTGGGAGTCTGGTGGTGATCACACAAATCTCCATACCTACACACGCGTGGGCACGTGCAAATAGGACTGCATATAAAACTGGTGAAATCTGAACCAGATTGGTGGACTGCATCAACGTCAATTTCTTGGTTGCCCATATTATACTGTAGTTATGCAAGATACTGCCAGAGCAAGAGCTGGGTGAGGGGCACACAGGATTATGATCCCAGGTGGATCCACAATTATCTCAAAAGTTTTTACAAGTTTAATTAGAAATAAATAATTTGAGGAACTTTTTAAAAACCACTAATGCCTGGATTCTACCCTAGAGATTGGGGAGTGTGAATGGGTTTCAGGACTGGTGTTTCCAAAGCTCCCAGGAGACCGTAAGGTGCAGCAGGTGGAGAAGCACTGGATGGAAGAGTGTCCCTTCCCTGGTGCTGGCCTCGCATCCGGCTGCATTTGGCATGAGGAAGGTTATCAAGAACTGATAGACTGTGAGAGTGAGACTTCATTAATTCAGACCAATGTAGGGGCAGGGGTGAGGGGAGGGATGGAGGCCGGCCTGCATGGAAGGAGGTCTGCTGTAGCAAGTGTATGGGCTGTACAGGGTCCCAGACTCTCACGCGAGTCCACAGGTGCTTTGGGTTGGAGGCCTTTAGTCCTAGCTCCTTGTCACTGTCACCACGTAGCAGGCCCAGAACACAGGGTGCTGCCAGAGGCTGCGTCACCGACAGTGAAGACGACTTTGCCCTCATTTAGAGATAAACAGAGGATTTTATCACAACCCCCAAACACCCACCGGAGTGTGGGTGAGTGGGGAGAATTCCCTGAGCTTGTGCTCCTCACCACTGTCCTGCACCACCCTTGGCCAGGGACTACGGTCTCTCTAACTTCCACTACAGCAGGGTCTCTGGGGTACCCACAAGTAGAAAATCAGGGAAGCAACAGTTTTGGGCATTCACGGAGTAAAAAGTGAGCAGGGGACAGAGATCCTAGACGCCTGGCCCTGCTTCTGCACCGTGAGCTGTGTGGCCACAAGGCAGCAGTACGGGGAGGCCTCTGCTCTCTCTGGGCCTCCACTGTGAAGCAGAGGGCTGGACTGGGTAGATGCCCCGAGGCCCTGCCCGGGCTGTGGCTCTGCTCTTGGAGAGGACCAGGGGTGCCTGTAATGACGTGCATGGAAGATGCAGGCCCAGCCTGGAAGGGCAGCAATGCTCTGGTGAGCTGGGCAGAATAGCACCAAGGGGAATGTGGGAGGCACGTAGCACTGACAGCAGAGAGGGAGGGCAACGAGGGATTCTCCTGGCTCCCTAGCGCAGGGTGCTCTTCCTGAAAACAAATGGAAGTCATGCCCAGCAAACACGGACCACTGCCACCGTCCCTCACCCAGCAGGGTGGCCACCTACCTCAACCTTCTCCACCACCTGCTTGCCGAAAGAGCAGACCTTGGTGGAGCAGGTGATAATCATGTTCTCGGGGCTTTCATACTGGCTGGAGACCCCGTAAAAGGAGCTGCCTTCATCCTCGATGTTGGTGTTGAGGTCTGCCTGGAGGGAGACAGGGGGAAGCCGAGGGAGTGGTTAGCAGGTGCCATGTCAGATGGGGAGCATCAAGGAGACCTCAGGGTCCCAGTCCCGGGTCCAGGGCTGGGAAGAAATCAGACTCAGAGTGGACAGTAGGATGCTGGAAAGTGTCCACCATCCTCTACATCTCAGCCTGTTAGAAAATCAGGTCGTGTTGCCTAAATCATGGGTAAAGAGGACACTGGGACCCAAATAGTTTCAGGCCACTGCTGCCTGCCCAGATACTAACACACCCAGCAGGTGGGAGCCCCAGATTCCATCTTTAGGATTTCAAGTTTCATAGTCTAAGACTTTGTTTCTGTTAAACTGCAAAGGTTTGAGTCTCTACCAGCCAGCTCTATGTTAGTTTGAATGCATCTATCAGAATCTTTCCAGAGTGAATTTTGATAGTGCAGGAAGCATGAGAACAGAAAGCCAGGACAAGAGACTGGCAGAGGGGAGGGTGGGAGGGGCGAAGGATGCTCCCGTCTCATCCTCTGGTCTCACCGGAGACCCATCGATGCTCCCTTAGAAACGGCTCTGGGGCTGGCCTCTTGCCCCTCTATCTAGTCATTGCTGAGTCCCACCACCTTGGATCTTTTGACATCTCTGCTTCAGCCTCCAGAGCAATCTCTACAGCATCAGCTGCCCCTCCCTTTGGTTCATTCTCTTAATGTCTCTGGGAGTCTCTTCAGAAGACAAGTCACTGCACCGTCTCATTGAGTCATTTAGCCACAAAGGACAGGAGTCTCGGTCCCCGACCTGGCCCATAAGGCCCTTCACAGGCCCAGCCACTGGTCCTCTCAGTCAGCTTCTCACCTTGCCTCAGAGAGGCTGCTCTTCCCCTGATGAAAGCAGGGCCCAGAGGGCCTCCTGCTGGATGTCGGGCTAATCCGAAACTTCCCTCCTAGAAAAGGCGGAGTAAGACTCTGTGCCGATCTCACGCCCAAAACCACAGCCTCGGTTTTATACACAAGGAGTCCTGACTGTTAGCCTTGCCCAACACCATCCTGCTGGTAAGAGAAAGACCCTAGGTCTTCAGGCTCCAACCTCAATACCTGTCCCAAGCCAGCAGGGAGTCACAGTGAAGACAGGAAGGCACCAGATGAGACAATTTGACTTGGAGGCAGGAACCGTATTCCTGAAGCCCTATGCCACTTAGGGATCCCCACGCCCAGAACCTCGGCCCCACATCAAATCACCCCATCTGAGCCAGGGGTGCTAAGAGAACAAGTCAAGACTCAGAAGCAATGAGCAGGCACATCACAAAAGGCTTATTCTCAGGGAAGGCTGCTCCTCTCACCCACACCACTGGTCTGAAATCACCGCAAGCTGCACGCAGAGGGCAGCCCTCCGAATGCAGCGGGGCCCCAGGCCTTGACCAAGGCTCTGACACCAAGGCTCTTCTGTGCAAAGATATAAGGGGATCCCCAGAACCCCCGGAAGGTTTCGGCCAGATTCAGAGCCAGGCACCGAGCAATTCTACTACTGGCCATGAGGGGACACTCAATCATTATTTTTCTCTCCTCTGGAGAAAAGTTTTCCTAAGAGTAGGACTTTTCTCTACACTGGCAGGGGGTGTTGACTGTCTATAGCACAATAGAAACATTATGTAGCCACAAAAAACGCTGAGGACCTGCATTTATTATCATGGATGACTACAAACACACCGAGTGGGAAAGCAGGCTACGGAGCAGAACGAGGGTGGATTATGCTTATGATGAGGAAAAAAAGGCTGTTTTCACGCTGAAACAGAATGGCATATGGTTCAGTGCATCTGCGTCGGCTTGGATGGGGCCATTAGGGAAAAAGAGCACTCGAGTCAATGCTCAGCCTCTGCAACAGACAGCAGTGTGAAACACCCTCCTCTACAACCCTGGGCTGCCTCAGTCTCCCCACTCTGCCTCTATCTGTGATGCTGGGAGGTAGGAGATGGCGCATCACAGGCAGCGTGTGGGGCAGGGGGGCGTGGCAGAGGTGGCTCAGGGCTCTGCTGGGCCAGATTTAACTGCAGCTGTGACTGGTCCAAGGCAAAAAGGACCAGAGCACAGCTTTCTGTCTCCTATTTTCTTTTCCTTTTCCTTCTTCTTCTTCTTCTTTTTTTTTTTGTTAGAGACAAGGTCTTGCTCTGTTGCTCAAGCTGGAGTGCAGTGGTGTGATCACGGCTCACTGCGGCCTCGAACTCCTGGATTCAAGCAGTCCTCCCACGTCAACCTCCTGAGTAGCTGGGACTATAGGCATGTGCCACCATACCTGGCTAATTGTTTAAATACTTTGTAGTGACAGGGTCTTGCTGTTGCCTAGGCTGGTCTCAAGCTCTTGGCCTCAAGTGATCCTTTCATCTTGGTCTCTCAAAGTGTTGGGATTACAGGTGTGAGCCGCTGCACCGGACCTGTCTGCTATCTTCTCTAAGTCATCTGCTCCTCCTAGGAGACTGAGTTTGTCAGACTGTTCCTAAAAAGGGGCTGGGGGACAGTTTGTGTGCTCAGGACATGCTGCAGTTAGAAGCACAGGCCAAAAATGTGAACGGTGCCTGAAAAGCCAAGAGCAGGAAGCCCAGCTGCCTGGGAAGGACACACTGGACATGGCAGGGAACATCGAGAGGTGAGGTCAGGCATCAATGGCGGTGACCCTCAGCCGTCAGCCACATATGGCCCCTCTGACCAATGCTGCATTCATGCGCCATCTACTGCAGTCCTGATTCTTTTAAATCAACTCACTTTTATTCCTTAATTCCATTCTAAGTAATAAATCCATGAAATCAAGGATTTATCCTCTCTAATATATACGGAAATAACCATATAACTTTATTTTTATTTTTTGAGATTGAGTCCCAATCTGTCACCTGGGCTGGAGTGCAATGGCACAATCTCAGCTTACCGCAACCTTTGTCCCCTGGGTTCAAGCGATTCTTCTGCCTCAGCCTCCTGAGTAGATGGGATTGCAGGTGCCTACCACCATGCTCAGGTAGATTTTTTAATTTTTTTTTTTTTTAGTAGAGATAGGGTTTTACCATGTTGGCCAGGCTGGTCACAAATTCCTGACCTCAAGTGATCCGCCCACCTCGGCCTCACAAAGTGTTGGGATTACAGGAGTGAGCCACCGTGCTTGGCCTGTAACTACTTTTCATATTTTCAAATAAAATTATTTTGAAACATAGGGATAGGGCCTTATGTTGCCATTCCTGGGCTCAAGCGATGCTCCTGCCTCAGCCTCCCAGAGTGGGGGGATTACAGGAATGAGTTACTGAGCCCAGCCAACTTTACAACTATTAACGGAAAAAAAAGCTTATTCATGTGCCACCTGAGAAGAATGCTGTGTGCCAAGCTGGGAAGGACTGGCACCCACATCTTCCAGCTCTTCCAGACCCCAGGAGCAGCTGGTACATTCCCCTCCATCACCCTATCTGTCATAATCTATCCAGACGTCCTTGCCCCCTTCCAGATTGGACACTCCTTAGAAGCAAGAACTAAGCTCTCCCAGGTCCTTGGCAGGGTGGGCCTTCAATCAAGGTTGCAGGCGGCTGTTCACCCTCTCACCTCCAGGTGGCATCAGTGAGAACAGCAAGGTCCCTCAGTCAGAAGCAGGAACCTAACCAGCCCTGCTCACCCTGAGAGTTCTGTGCCCCAGCTCCACCCCCATCTCAAATACACTCTTCGGTCCTCAGCTCTCGCTCCCTGGCTCTTCCCACCACTCAGCCGCTCATGTATCCAGCCCAGGCCGGCACCGCGCACCGCTGGAGGCAGGGGGGCCCAGAGAAGTTGAGACATTGTTTCTGCTCTCAGGGAACTTAAAACTGGAAAAGCAAATAGAATCAGGCTCTGGGAGTTGAGCAGGGGCCAGGGGAGAAAGAGCTCGTGGTCTCACACTGCATAGACCCAGAAGACACCAGCCGGCCCCAGAGCACCTCCTCTGTTCCTCAGTGCCTGGATCCTTCTAATTACATACAGTCCCATCCCTTCTCCTACAGCCATATACTCCTGACATTTCCTGTCCACCCTCATATCCCCCCACTCTGAGCACCTCCCCAAAACAAGCTATGCTTCTTAGGCTAAGAAAAAAGGAGAGCCGCCCCCTGCCCTGTGAGTGCCCCCTTGCAACCCTCCCTCCGCCCTATTCATAGCTGTGTGTGAGGGTGGGCAGCTCACAGGCTGTGCCTGGAACAGGTGTGGGGGATCGGGTGACTGACAGATGAGCGGAGACAGCCGCAGCCCGGGTGTGGGGGCCTGGAGGGGCTCAGATTCATTGTCATGTGCTGGTATGTGCCTGGCAGAAATGTCAGGGCCTGAAAGGGAACAGCAGGCTTCCCTTTCAGGGAAGATGGGAGGAAGGCCTGGGGTCCTCTGTTGCTTCCATGGTGCCCAGCTCTGCCCGGCATTTCCAACGTGCAGAGCAGCATTAATGGCCACCAGTACCCAAAGGCCCCTTTTCCCTGGCCCCAGGGACAGGTGGCGTCTGCCGGACTTGCAGGGCTCTATGGGGCTAAGGGGGCTTCAGTGCATCAGTCCCTCACACCAGGCCCCGTGACAGTCATTAGATAGTGCACAGCCCCAGCAGCCTCAGCCCCTCAGGCTGGCAGATGCCACTTCCAGCCGGAAATATGTCCCAGCAGTCCACAAGTCTATGGATTACCACCACAGTGCCCTCAGTAAGAGCAGTAACTCAGGGGGCAGGCACGGAGGCTGGACGGGGAACGGCCGAGTCCTCCGCCCACTCCAAGAGAGTTCTGATCGCCTCTCCAGCACGCACGTTCAGGGCCTGGGAGCTGGGACTGAAGAAACGGCCAGGCAGGAAAAGAAAGGCTCCAGGAGAGGCGACGCTGCTTCCTTGCCTGAGCAGTTTTCCTTCCTAATTGCGTGTGGCCAAGTTCACACCAGCTGATGGCAGGGGAAGGGGGAACCACGGTGGGAAGCAGAAGCCAGGAGCTTCCCGATACCTGGGGCAGCTGGAGCAGGCTGTGAGGACCCACGATTGACGCAAAGTCT